GTCGTTTTTTTCCCCCGAGAATAAATTCACGCCACCTGCTTCCTGTCAGCTCTTTGACGACTTGAAACACTTTCACTGGGATTTACAGTTGGGTTGAATCTACAGCAGCAGGAAGTGTTATTTTTAACTTTCTGAGCTTGTAAAGAGGGACTGTGTGGTTCTGTGAGAATGTAAAGCTCAGTCATGTGCGGCGGTGGAATTAGGAGAATGAAGGAAGTGGATTCCTCGTCTTCATGGCAGCCATTGATCGTCCGGTCACTCCTCGACATGCTGCTTCTCATCCATTAAGGCGTCACTCGTATGTGTAGGTCCGTCTGACCTCTGTGTGACTTAATTTGCTGCACACATGCATGAGCCAGATGTCTCTGCCTCAGGCTTCCTCGCTGGAATGTAGGTGGGTCAGACGTGCGTTTGCCGATGCTGAACACGTTCGCTTCCTTCAGCCGCTGCAACGGCTTCAATGCTCAAATAAAAACATCTGCCTCTAATTGGAGCCAGTTGATTTTGGATGGCAGATGCGTGCCAGGCCCGACTGCGTCCCAGTCCAAGTTGTTTCAGTTTGGGGAAACTTTTGCTGGCCATTAAGCTGTCATGCTATTCGGGCTTTTCAGAACACCACCCAGCTGGGCTGGTATGTAGACTGGACGTCACTTTTGGAAACCAACTCGATTTTTGAGTTTATTCCAGATTTCCTAAGCGTAGCAAAAGAAAATGCCAAAAACATTTGAAAGCTGAACCAGTACTTGCCTCTTAGTTGGACTTAAATAATCTTAAAGGGGATCTATTATGGAAAATTTGGTTTTTGAACATTTTTTCCATTTGGGTCTCAACTGCTTTTAAAGATGGCACAACACTTAAAAAAAAAAACACCAGGCCATTGAGCCATTTTAGAAACCTACCAACCGTTGCCTAGCACATTTGCGCAGTTGATTTTACTGCCGTGTACAATGGCTGCTGGAAAAGACAGGTTTTGTTGTGGACTTGCCATCCAGACACCACTTTCTGTATTCTTGTTGTTTGTGCAGGAGGCTCCACTTTTGCTTTTCAAAGATATATGGTTGTAATTTTATGCATTTGTTTGCAGCCGTTTTCACGGAGTATTAATGTAGAGTTGAGTAAGCGTGGCCAGCAGCAGCTTATTTGGATTTAAAGTGAAAAGAGGCCGTAGAATGGCTCATTCTGGAAGGAGCTTAAAATGGTCAGAACTGAGCAGAATAAAATATCATTATCTAAGAAAATTGTTGACATATTTTGTGATCTATCTGAACCTGTTGAAGGAAGCCTAGTAGATCATCTTTAAGCTTCAGCGCCCCAGAATCTGGAGTCGGATCTGACCCCAGTCTGGCTGAAATGTTTGCTTGTGACTCTTGGTTCACCTTTGGCTCTCGTGCAAACAGATTTCTGCTCTCAGCTGGACTTTTGAGTTGAACTAAGAGCAGAATTTTATTTTAAGAAATAACTAAATTCAGCTGTAACCTGCTCCCCCCTCCCACCCCCCCACAATTTATCATTACAAGCTGAAAGAGCAGAAAGTGTAATTCTAGGGGTAGGAATCAAAACGACAATGTTTTCGTTTATCACAATCATTTCTGTGATGATTTATCATCCAGTACATTTTATTTTTTTTGTGAGCACGTTTTCCATGATTTCCATTCCTGGGTTTGTTCTCTATCCCAGCCCTGTCATTTTTGTCCAGCGGGAACATGATGTCACTCATGTGGCTTTGTTTACAAATTACAGTTTGCTTTCAATAAAAGCACAACGTGAAACCCAACGTTTTGCTTTTGGTCTGGACCAAACAAATGTACAAAAGGACGTCCCTGGTTTGATTAAACCCCGAGTTTGATCAGTTTGAATCCTTGTTTCTCATCCATCCAGGGTTTATCCACATAAAGACAATTTAGAGAGAAATTGGGGTAAAAAAAAAATCCTTTGTTTAGCCCAAACAAGTAACTTTGAACCCTGTTTACACATTTGTGCCATAGAACAAAGCAGCTGAGCTTTAAATTAAAACCTCATTTTCAGACGACGACTCAGCTTCGTCACTGATTTCGTTTGGCACACCCTGTGCATTCCTCTGCTGTTTTGTTGCGACAGTCATCTGATGTAGGTCCACAGATGAAACTAAGCTGACTCCAGTATCAACAAACCCCTCCTCCTCCAATCCGTCTGCTCGGTGCTTTCCTAACTCCTCCTGTGGCTGCAGCGCGCCGTAATCTCTGCCTATGATAAACGCAGCATTAAAACTGACCCATTTTATCAAACGCACGCAATCCAGCACCTTAACATGCAGAGGAAGGCCAGATGCAACTAAACTGCAGACGGCTGTAAGATTTGAAGACAGTAAATCTATTAAAGATGGAATGTGACTGATTTTAGTCAGTTTTATATTTATTTTATATAAACAGGCTGGGGTTTTTTTCTAGTCTTTGATTGTTTTAAAAAGATTTTTGATAAAGATGTCAGTTGTATAATTTAGATTATAAAGGTAGGGGAAATGCTTTTGTTTTGACTCCCGTACTTGTTCAGCTTGTTTTTGGGGCTGAAATGATTGATGATGTTGAAATAATTGTCCACTAAGTTGGTGATGAATTCATCTGTAACTGGAGACTAAAACGAGACGGTTTTCTGGGGGGGAAAAGAGCAGTTATTAAACAAAAACTGTACAGAAAATGTAAACATTTTGCATTTAATTAAAGTGGCCAATTTTGTTTCCAGGTTTAAATTCTGTTAACTTTCATTCTGCATTTTCTTATGCATTTCTAACATTGAATAAAATGAGCTCAAGCACTTAAAAGAAAAATCTGCACAATGTCTTAATCCAAATAATTGATTAGTAAAATAATTTAGTTGCTGCCCTAAGGCCTAAATTAAAAAGGTGTAATCTGATGAGATAAAAGTTGATTGTTTTTCCCTGATGTAATCAATCAGTTTATTCCTGTGCAGGGATGTTTGGTGAATTTTTCCCCCGTTGTTGCCCCGTATTGTCGGCTGGTTGGGTTTTTCTTGTGATTGCATGAACAATGTGCTCAGAGTCTCTAAAGGACAACCAGTCCAGGGATTTGCTGCTCCAGCAGAACAAGAATTGCTGCAAAGAGTTTCTGTAGAACCGCTCAGGTTTGAACTGAACCGTCCTAACGGGTCGGTCCGGGTCTGGGAACAAAGCGCCCGGAGCTACACTGGACTGCCGGTTTCTGAAATGCCCAAAATGGAACCATAAATCTGTAACTGATTAAAAAAAAGTTTATTCAAAAGTACAAAGTGCGTACAGACCTGTCCAGTAAATTACTGAACATCCCGTTTATTTCAGGAACTTTATCACAAACTGAAACACACAAACTCTGTTTCTAATGATTATGATCATTTTCTACTTGCAGCTGATGAAAATTGCATTTAAAATTACATCACACCAATAAAAATTTACATTTAAAAACTAAAATGTGGGTTTAATGAAGCAAGTTTAGTACCTTCTTAAAGGGTGCTTCTATTGAGTGGCTGTGAATGAAACGAGAAAATAAATGCTTGTTGGCATTTAGAGAATTGCTGCATCGGCTAAAACCACTTTCTCCGAACGAATCAGGAGATTGATGAATATCATTATTTCCTTGAAACCTGGATTACAGCTGTTTACATATTGTTGGATTATACAAGAAACAGGATATCATCTTACTTTATTTAGTTCTTCATCCTGGTTTCTGTTCCATCTTCCTCTGTGTTTCTCCTGTAATTTTAAAGGTTAGCATGTAGCCACAGCTGCTTTAGCGTACAAATGGTTGACTAATTTGTTGAGGAAACGAAAGGTGTCCCCCCCCCCTCTCCCCAAGGTCAAAATTAACTTTACAGAGGCTCTGCGCGTCTTGACAAAGACTCTGGTTCTGCTCATTTCTGCTACTGAAACGGCCTCATATCGTCATTGGATGAATCTATGTTCAATCTCTACGTCTGACTTTTCTTTTTTGTAGCCAAGATACTAAAGCTTAGACTGGTGAGAAAAATCAGGAGAATAAAGTTACGTAAATGTGTGTTAAATGATTGACAACCTTTCTCAACTTAACCAGGCTTTTTTTTATTAAAGAACAGATTCAAGACTCAAGAAATTAGACAAACACCTTATAGCTATGGCTAAGCTTTACTTGAATAAACTGTTATGAAATGTATTTTGTAATTCTGCTCACATAAATTCTTCACCACAGCTTCCTCCGGTGCATTTTCCTTCCAGATTTCCTCCTTGTTTTATCCCTGTTTTTCTGCACAATCACTTACAGAAACATTAGGAAGACATTTATTTATATTTCAGCAAATTGAAATGTAAATCGGACTGCAAAAACACAAAATCTTGCCAAGTATTTTTGGTCTAGTTTCATGAGAAAATATCTTAGTTTTGTCTTCTTTCAAATGTTCCAAGTAACTTTTCAACAAGATGTAGGAGTTTGTAAGTAAATAATCCCTTAATATTGATTTAAAAAGTCCTCCTTCCATGGGGAAATATCTTTTTATAAGTGAAATAATCTGCCAGGGGAACTAGTATGTTCCATCAATACTAAGCAGTTTTATATGTAAACTCTTATGTTGTGTTCAAAAGTTACTTGTAAGTTAGTTTTGACTTAAGAAATCTACTACAAAGTAGACAAAAAATGCTTGGTAGCTTTTTATTTTTTTTGCATTGCGAATGATTGTTACACATTTTCCTGAAGTTCCGCCTCTTTGCTTTCAGCACACAATCCAGTTTTTTTCCCTCTTTCAGTTTCCAGATGTTTTTAGTTTTTTTTTTAATGTACGTTTATTAGTTGTTCATTATCGTCTTGCATGTTGGAGTGTCAAAGTGGGCAAATTGCTTCAGTTATTTGCTGCCAACATGTTCAGCTCACTTCCTGCTTTGCTTTCTGAGAACTCTTGACCATATTTGGTCTTTCCTTTAGATTTTTTTAGGCTGTTTGTTGCACAGATTCCTTCCAAGCTCAGATCAGTATTTTATGGAGTATTGTTGTGTTTTGGATAGCTTAAAGATAATTTCCTTTCCTCTCTCTGCAGGGCACTAAAGAGTTGCAGGAACTGGCCGGTGTGACGCTCCACACTGAACATACCAACCTACGGAGGGGATGAAGCCGGATGGAGCTACTATGGAGACCCCAGAGCTCGGTGAAGCTGCTGCCGTAGCGGAGCGCTCGTCTCAGGAAAACATAAACGAGGAAGCCCAAACTCAACCGGACGCAGCTGCACCTGCAGAGACTCAGAAGGCCAATGGGAAGGCCTTAGCAGTGGATCCCAAAGTCAAACCAAAAGCAGCTGGAAGTAAAACCCAACCAACACCCTCTGCTGGCGCTGCTGGATCCGGCTCACGGCCGGGAACTGCTTCCCACCGCACGGAGAGGGATATTAAATCTTCCTCTGCAGGGAGGAAAACAACAGCAGCAGCAGGAGTTGCAGCAGCAAAACCCTCTGCTGCAGGAGCTGTGCCTAAAAGGCCAGCAGGTGCACCAGCAGTTTCATCCACAGCTAAAACCCAAACAAGAGCTCTTGACAGGAAGCCAGTCGGACCCGTCAAGACTGCTGATGCAACAGTAACCAATGGTACCAAACAGAGAGTGGCACCCAATGGCATTAGTAGGAAACCAGCAGCTGAGGCTGCTAATGGAGCTAGGCCAAAAACCACAGGCAAGTCTTCTCAGTGAAATAAAATCAAAGGTTTTGGATATGACCATTGCTTTATTGGCTTTTTTTTCTTCTTTTTCCTGTGTAGCTGCTACTAACAGACCGGTTGCTTCAGCTGTTCCAAAAACAAACGCACCGACCACAACGAAACCTGCCGCTCCGGCCTCGTCACGAACAACAAGGTATGGGTCGCATTTTCCACGAGGCAGATGTACGTTATGTCGTTTTAAAGTCGAGGTCAACGTGATAAAAGTTCAGTCGACTAGTAACTGTAACACAGGAGAAATTGCTTCACAGCATCTTGGAGGCTTTATTCCCACTTTTCAGACAGACAGAAGTTTGTTATACAGAGTGAAAAAGGGTAAAAACATTTTTCTGGACTTTCCAGCAGCAGATAGCCTGGTCATTGTCTTCCTGTGAAACTCTGCTTGATTCTCATCTCACTTCCAGCACAGTGAGTGGGCTTTCTCCCATTGAATTGAATTTCAACAAGACCAGTTGTCGAACAGAAGAAGTTCTGAAGTCCAGTTTCTGAGGCCCTCTGTACGATGCAAAGGAGCAGAGCGCTGAACTGCTACTGTGGTCCGAAAAGTTGCACAAACCAGAGTCTGTTTTTTTTTTTTTTTTTCCAAACTCTGGCGGTTACTGATGGGTATATTCTAATCTTGGTCAGCTGCTGCATCTATAGGAGTCAAATTGGATCTTTATAGAATAAACTTAACTTATCGTAAACGGATCACCTTTGATTCACCCACCTGCTGCTCTGGTGACTCTGGGCTGCGGCTCAAGCGGTAGGGAAAGATTGTCAGATCCCCAGAACGTTTCTTAAACTCTGTCCAGATTTCAGATGTATAAAAATATAAAGTAATTTACCAAAGTTGTGCTGCAAACTCTGACAAAAGCTGCTGAAACAATGCATGGCCTGGTGTCTGGCTCTTTCTCATCCATCCACCTGATCAGCGCCAAGCTTTTGACCTGTTGTCTCTGTTTTTATAACAATACTAACGACAAACCTGCCTAGATTCTCATCTGCTTGAGTAAATCGGTTTTGTTACGTGATTGCGACTTGTCGACGTGAAAGAAGCAAAAGAATCGACTAGTTGGCTCAAATGCTTCATTAACACTTTGTAAATTTGTCTGAAAAAACGGGTTAAGTCGTCTTCGGACAGTTTTAATGTCCAGACTTTATGAATGCTTCGTCTTTATGCGATGAAACTGCAGCAGATGACTGCAGCAGATGTCCATCAAAGGTCTTTACCTTTGATGGACATCTGCTGCAGTCTTAATGAATCGGATCCTCTTCAGCTACATGAGTCACATCAGCAGGAATGACCTGAGACGGAGAGCCTCAACACGGCATGTGAAACCGAAGAACCAAAGCTTTGTCCCTGATGCCCCCTGGCAGAACCAGACCTACCTCCCCGGGGCAGAGAGAGCTGTTGACTTGGAGCATGAAACCCCTCATACTGGGCCAATACTCTTGGTCTTCTTTTCTAATTCTGGGTTTTTTACACAGGAAGTTGTTTTTAGAATTGACAGGAAAATTTAATATTTTTATTTGCTGCATTTTTCCTTAATTCATTTGGTTTGTTGTCTTGTAGATGTAATTTCTATTACATTAAAGCGACGGTTTTCCACAGAATGTAATGTTCTGTGTTGAAACTTGATTAAATCCTGCCGTCCACCCAGCACAGGGTCACTTGATGCCCATTTTCCTTCAAGCCATTGCTTTCTTGTAAAAATACTCATTATGTTCCCCTCAACACGTTCTAGATCTGCAGCATGGAAAGCAGATGACTGTGGCGAGGATCCNTGCTNCAGATCAATTTCCCTTATGAATAAGATTGATCAGATCAGAACTGTTTGGGCACTCAGACGCCCTCGGTAGCCCTTGCTGTCGATGTCGTGAGTTTTTCTTGATATCGGACAGAAATGTGAACTTATTCCACCGGTTTCTGTTTCATCTCTTTGTCGGAGAAAAAACTTGAAGTTAGTTGGATTCTGAGATCTTAAGACATGCACATGCAAGATTTTAGGGGAGGGAAAAAACTTTACTTAATATGCATTTTAAAGCTTGAATATTTTCGAACTTGCATTGGAAATTACAAAATGTCAAGTGTGGCAGATACCAGGCTTCTTTTCTTCAGCTGCTATAGCTAGTAGTTTGTTTTTGTTGTTGTTGTTTTTTTCCTGTTTGTTTTTGATGAGTCATAATGTTGCTCAGGAGGTATCGAACTCCACATCTAAAAAATACGATCTATTTCTTAATTTGTTTTTGTACAATCATATGTCTAGTTTTCTTATCTGCCTTTGCTTCTAATGTGAGATTTTAAATTTGGTCAACCTTGAGAGAAAAGAAAAAAAAACTGATCTGAGATCAGTCTGTTTTTCTGGTTTAATATGTTGGTGTTTTAACTGTGGAGCTATATTATTGCCAGAAATTTTGCTAAAACAATATTTGAAACTGAAATATATTTAAAATTCTTAAAAATAACAGATTTGGACCTGAAAAACAAGTTTTTGAAACTGTATTGAATCATGGCTGATGGCTCAACGTACCAGCTGTGCAAAATATTCCCAACTTGTATTAACTGTGGGAAATTGAAGTCTCTTAAACATTATCTTCATTGTTTTATTGTTGAACCGATAGGCGCTTACGTCAACAGAAATCAGTGGAAAAAGTAAACTGAACATTTTCTGCAGCATTTTCAGTTCATGTTGGACATTTCATGCTAGTAAAGCAGAAGAACCCCATAGTTCGGTTCTTCAGTTCGTAAAACTGGGAAAAAAAGAAATGTGAAAAGTAGGTTTTACCTGTTTTACTTTAAATTTTTAAATCTTTTCTCTGTTTCTTTTTTGGCCCCACTGTAGTTCCATATTCAACCTGCTATGCCAGATGGTTCATATATAACCAGTGGAGTTTGTGCTTTTCAATGGAGAAGATTTCAGGAATAAATAACTTTAGAAAAGATAATATTTTCATCCAATCATGCATTAGTCAGCTGAATATTTCAGGGCTTTGTTTTTCTTTGCCCTGCATCAGTCGTGCCTTAGATTGGGCCGATACGACAAACCAATCTACGCTCCAATCTGCCTTGGAGGGCAGAGCTGCTTTAACTGGGAAATTCATTTGAAGGAGGACAAAAAGTAAAATCCTTCTTCAGATTTAATAGGACAGATGGATCCTGATTTGTTCCTTCAATCTAATTTAAAACCCTGAACTCTAACAAGCATCATGTATTGGAGTTACAGAAGTTATGAAATGTTTGTTGTGATAAATGTTTACACTGATAAAGTTCAGCTCCAGGATTAGGGCTGAAACAATCAAAATCATCAACTAGTTTAGTAGTTTGTTAATCATTAACTGGAATAGACACCAAAGAACAAGCTAGAGCAGTTAGTCTACAAAAAATATGTACATTTAGTATTTAAGATGAAAAACGTCTTTTGTAAATATTTTACCCAGAACTTCTCTAATATCAGCTGTAGCTTCAAATTCTGCAAAATGAATAAATGTCTGATTAATTTATAATTTATTTATAAAAAAACAAAACCATAATCAACATGTTGGCCCTCACAGTATTATCTGAAGCAGAAAGGGTTAAGTTTTTCTCATGATTTTATTTTTTTATCTGCAGATGCATCTTTTGCATTTCAGACATAAAGATATTTCCTATTTAAAAAGGAAACTTATTTATTAGCATTTCTTTTATGAATTGAACTTCCTAAATTTTTCATAAAAAATATACACTACAGTTCAACACTTAACATGGCGCAAGCTAAACTCGAGCAAATAAGAAAATAAAAAGACACAAATTAATACCAACAGTCTAGACGTATATAAAAACAATAATAATAATGCTCTATAACCCAGATACAGCCAGATAATTATAGCATTCCAGTTAAATGTGTTTTTTTAATGCATACATATAAAAGGCTAAGTTTTAAAATGAGTGCCAATTTTTTTTATATATCCTTTTAATTGTCAGAATAACCAATTATCACAATAATTAGCTGAAGCCCTAATCATGACTTTTTTTTAATGAACAGTGTAAATTCAACCAAACCACAACAATATATTTTGGATTTTCCCTCTGTTTTTTACATTTTCTCTGTTGAAGCTGTAGTTTCTCCAGTCTGCCTTGTTGCAGAGCCAACCCCGAGTTCCTGGCTGCTGCTAGGCTGCAGAGCTTGCTCTGAACTCTCCACTGAGCTGCTTTAGGCATTCAGTCTCTGTGGAGGAGATGACAGATCACCCACACAAGTGTCAAGAATGTGTGCTGCTCTCAGGACAGAGTAAATCTGCTGGTTTTGGATGCTTTACAAGCAAAACAAGGCTCTGCGTTACACTTGAATATCTAGCGTGCGCTGAAGCATGAGAAAACAATTTATTTGCAAGACAAAAAATATATTTTCTGCTTTTAATGTATGAGGAGTTTAATAGTTTGGAAAACTAATTAACTGGTTTATTTCCTTCCAGTAAAACCATAGCAGTCACAGACGACTGGTTTTAAGCTTTTACAATACTCCTCCTGCGCTTAATAATTGGCAACCAAATTGATGTGGTTGCTTTGTTTTGTGAACAACAGAAGTGTAATGTCATCTCTTGTAAACACACTCAGGAAAAAAAAAATCCTTCTATGATTGGTCAGGCTGTCAACAGTGTTGGTCATTCAGGACCTGCTGTTTATCATTAAAGTTTCATAGATGACTGTGTGAGGCTGATCGTGTTCCTTTTAGTGGTGGTTTGTATTGATTTGAACCTTCTGCCAGCAGGAAATGTAATCTATACTAAAACACAAGCACCAGCCAACACCCGCAGGCTGCGTGTGGACAGGCGGCGTTGGCGAGTCTTTCCTCGCTGCCCTCAGTCCGATTAAGGCTTTGAATTATTTCTCCTCGTGAAGCGATAACTTGATGCCTTTGGGTTCATGTTCACCAAAGATCAGGGTCCTTCCAGAAGTCAGGGGTTAGTTTTGTGGTGGCCATCTTGTTTCTATTTAGTAAAATCAGATGGGATAAAAATGTAAAAAAGAAAATGTGGCAATTTGACGGTCTAAACTATTTGATTTCTGATTGGTTAAATCTTAACTCTTTTTTTTATTTATTTATTTTAGTCATTCTAGTTTAAAATTTCCTTTTACTCTGTACCAGGAGTTTTACTTGCAGACTTCTGCTTTCAACCATCCAATAAGACTCTAGTCTTATTGGATGGTTGGTTGTTTTGTTTGTTTCCACCAATGGGGGAAATAAAAGAAATAATCAATACTCTTTTGCCACAGTACAGTCAATTTTAAATCAATCATGTAAAGAAAATTGGCAATCAAAATATGTACAAATGGTACATTTTGTCCCCATTTTATGTTTTTCTCCTTTTTAAATTGTTTTACTAAATTATATTGCAGCCATTTATTTTCCAAAACATAAATAAAAACCACAGATGCCAAAAAACAGGGTGGCAGCATTGGTTGTATTTTTGTGCAGTGCTTAGCACCGCTAATTAATCACCGCTAACCCTGAAACCTAATCATAAACATTAGCTTTGCTAATGCTAAAGAAGTTCACCAACAAAGTAATTAGCAGAAGTGAATGCTGAAGCTAATTCGAATTCAAATTAAATCTGCCTCTGACAGACTAACCCTCAAGTATAAATTAATTTTAGTTTGTGCTCTATAATCCCCTCCGAAATTGTATCTATTTATATCTTAATAGCTGGGGGAGGAAATGGAACTGCTGCATTTTCACCCACTTCAAAATAAGAGCATGTCCATAAATATCTAAATAGTTGACAAATTCGACCCAGATGTCGACCTTTATTTAACTGAAAGTTTATGAAATGGCAAAGTAAATTAGCGCTTTAGAATTTATCCAGGAAAAAAAAAAGTTTATGGGAAGCAAAGTGTGCCAAATGTTTTCAAAGTTAGCTAAGGTGCTAAATGGAAAGATTAGCTAGATTAGCAGAAGTGTGACCACCGCTGTTTTTGTATGATGTAGCCTAGCTTAATTCAGTAAACGCCTGTTAATGTTGCACTTTCTGTTGAAAGTTGGAAGGACTTTGAATCTGTTTCAAAGTGTAACCCAGAGAGGAGGCCAGATTTCAAAAATACTGGACACACCAGCACAGATAAGTTTGAATGACCATGACTAAATATCATCTTAAAATGATCAATATCAAGTACAACAGAGTTGATTTTCTTTTACTTACCATATTTTTGCCTTTATTTTGATCCCAAAACATCCAGTGTGCTTTTCTCAACGTGTCGAATCTGGAGCACCCAAACAGGTAATGACTGCAGTATTTGGCTCCTTATGTCTCTTTGAATGCTGAGATAAGTTAAATAAGAAGACTGGGCCAGACCTATTAAAACTTTTAAAAGTCCATTTTAATTGGTAAACAAATGGGAAGTCAATGGAGAGTCAATTGGAGTGTGTTTGTTTTTTTTTTTAGTGCTGTCTAAGCTGAGCTGCAGGATTCTGGACAGTTTGGGGTTGATGGAGAGAAGAGCGATCCAGACAAACATGCAGCTAAAGCACATAAATCACTTTTCTTTTCTTTATCCCAATACCTTTGATGGGTATATATATATGGCTTCACTTTCACAGGAACGCATTGAAACTGGTGCAAACGATAAGTACTCCTGCTGCAGAGAGAATAGTTGAAATTCTCAAAAAGCTACAATGTCTTTGGTGCATCTCGGCCTGACAGCAACTCGTGCAGATGGTGAATAAATTTGGCGGGATCTTCTTGCTGTTGGTGGGGAATTTACTACAATCAGCATTATTTGGGACTAAACTGCCATCCTGGAGAGATTAAGTTCAGAGTAAATACATTTTTGTTTGGGTAAAATGTGAGGAAGGCATCACTAATTACAGTGAGTAATGCCACCTTTACCTTTTTATTGTTTGTATTTATTTGCATCCCCTTTATATCACAGTTTTGCCTCTCGGAAGATAATCAAATGTGACGGACATCAATGGTTCCACTTTCTTTAAAGCCGTTTCTTCTTTATTGACTTTGTTTTATTGTCTCTCTGCTGTTTCCTTGGCTGCAGGCCGAGGCCATCTCCGTGTCAGACTGGCTTTGAGCGGTTCTGGCCAAACTAAAGTCCGGTTCTACGGTCTAATGACAGCCAATTAGAAAATGCTGCCGCTCTGACTTCATGTCTGTACAGTGGTTGTCTGATCTTGGAGGAACAAATGGTCATTGTAATGGTTGATTGTAATGTGGGAGCGGCATCTCTTTGCAGGCATGCTGCCCCGCTAAAAGCCATCAAAGTCAGTGTTGTCCCAGATTATTCCTGCTGCAACTTCCACATCAGCAGACAAAGTCAAAGGAAACATAATGCAGATTATTGGTTGATCACTCAATTTCTGAAGCAATTTTTGGTGCACTTGGTTGGGAAATGATGCCATGGATCATAATTACTTGCAGGCCTGTGACTTCCTGTTGATAAATGGGAGAAGGTTTAAAGTTGGGTGAAGTTTTCTGGAAACCTTTTCTTTACCATTTTCTACTTGAAAAAGAGGGCAACCTACATTTGATAGACAGTCAATCTCATCAGTATGAGACACAAATGTTCTTGATGATGAACTTTCAGTCTTGGATTCAAATAATCAATTTTAGACAATTGTTCTGCCAGAAAACATTTATTTATTTATTTTTAAAGATGCAGTTTCTTGCACATCAAAAGTGAATAAATTTGGCTCTCCTGTTAATTTATTTATAGATTTAAAAAAGCTGCATTTTCAGGAAGTCAAATTACTTTTTTTGTTTTGTTTATGGTAATAAGAAAACTCGATTCAGTCAGAGTGAAACTCTGAAGGACAAAAATCTGAAAGCCTTTCAGCCAAAAGGTAATAAAGACTGTAAATATATTTTTATAGGTTACAGCATTTTCCTCCGCAGCATGCCAGCTTTTGCAGAGGCTTATTAATAAACCATTACTTTGCATCAGATGCGTTAAACCAGAAAAATGTCTGAAATATACGGGACTGGTTTTTGAGGACTGGAACTGGTAGCGGTCGATTTATTTTCATTGACTTTAGGAACTTGATGATGTCAGACTTGGTAGTAAAATGCAGTGAAAAGCATCGTTTCCATGCAGTTCTGAAGTTTAGTTTGGTTTTTATTATTTTCCAGGACTGGACACATTTAAGGCCTGCACTGCAGTGTAGTTGGTTGCACTGTTGCCTTGCAGCAAGAAGGTCACGGCTTTGAATCCAGAATTTTTCTGTATCGAGTTTGTGTGGAACACTGGTTTTGTTGTTTAACTTTTTCCTTTGTTGCCTTTTCTAAATAGCAGACGTCTAATGATGCTTAAATGTGGTTTTTACATTAAATATTAAATTAAACATTTTTTTTCCCTTTTTAGTTACCAAATCTCACATTGCATTTATCAATGTATCCAGAAGCGTTTTGATTTCTTACTAGTTCAAAACTCATACAGTAAGTTTTCAACTCTTTGCTTGAACTCCAAATGAAGCACTTAGAAAAGCTGTTATTAGTCAATCTTATGATTTAAAAAAATTGAGGTTCAAAAGTTCACACACTCTGCTTTAAAGAGTCTGGGATACTTCATACCCGGTTTAACCTGTCCAAGATTTGTGGATTTTTGAACAGAGCTGATTCAGTTTTGTCCAGATGCTATAAAGATAGCCTCCTGTTTAATTCATTTGTGAAATCTGCAGAATAAACGTAATGCTTTAAATGTTGAAGACTAGAAATGGACTTCTGGCAGAGAATATTGCAAGTAAAATGCGTCAACCAACAACCTCTGTTTCTTTTAATTTTCCACCTTCTTCCTTTTGATTTGCTTTAGACAAAATGATACTTCAGATGTTTTCCTTTCACCCGTTTTTCTTTTTCAGCTCTTTATTTTTCATCTCACTGGAGTTTGCAGGTGGACATTAAAAAAAAAAGTTGCATCCTTTCTAAAAAAAAAACGGATTTATTTCCTTTCAGGCCTGCTGCAGGTGCCTCAACATCTCGAGCAACATCCACCTTTTCAAAACCTCCTGCTGCTGCAGCAACAACAAAGATTTCCACCACTGCAGCTTCACGAGTTGCTTCGTCAAGAGCCGCTGCACCGCCATCTGCTGGCAGGAGTGCAGGAGCACAGCTGAATAAAAATCCTCCTGCTAAGAAAGGTGAGGAGGTCATGTCATGTGCAGAAGGTTTTTCTTTGCTTTAGCGATTTGCTTTTGATTTATGTGGCAAACGGGGAAAATACTGCAATAAATCAGTAAATAAATTGGTAAAATAAAACTTCAAGTATTTATCACCATTTGTCTATTAAATGACTAGAGGGGAATCATTCATAAAAAATTACTTTTTAAGTAAGCCATAAGTTTACTTGCAATATTTTTTTTCTGTCTAAAGTTAAATCAGACCAATCTTTTTTTAGTTTAGTTAGAACTGACAAAATTATTTCTATTTACGAAATGCCATAGTAACGATGAGAGATGTGTCTTGAAATCAGAAGTTTTTCCTGCAGATGTAACAATGATCAATATGGCCAAACAGTTCCACCTTAATAAAGAAAATATTTTACCATCTTATGAATTTAAATTAATGCTTTCCAATTTAATATAAAATAACTGTACATGTATTTATTTACAGTGTTTGCTAATGTTTTTTTCTGTAAATATGAAACTGTTTTGCCTGTTTTACACCAGATGTTGGTCGACCACCTTCTGCTGCAGCTGCCAAGAAACCCCTTGCAACACCAACAGGATCACCTGTGGCCAAAAAGAAGGAAACGTCAAAAACTACAACTGCAGTGAAACCAAACTCTGCTCCAACGGCAACCAAGGCAGCCGACCCTAAAGCGTCGCAAGGCAAAGTTCTATCCGTGGCAAAACCGACCCAAACAAAGAAACCTGCAGCCACACCTCGCTACCCTCCGTCGACCAGACCGCCGCTTGGCCGAACTCCACCCGCTTCTCCAGCAGGCAAACCTTCGACCCCAGCAGCAAAACGCGGAACCAACAAACCGACTCAGACCCTCTCACCTTTCACACAGAAACCTGCGAAAGTCGTGTCGTCTGTTGCCGAACCGCAGATTGCAGCTCCTTCAGCGACAGCAGCTGAATCTGTTCAGGTAGCAGACAGCGTAACCGAGGTTACGACAGCGGCTGTGGTTTCTGCTGTAGAGGAGGTCCAAACCCAGCAGGAAAGAGCTGCAGAACCAGAGGAGGTGGCCCAACACATCAACACGACATCGCCACCAACATCTCCTCCTTTCCGGGAACAATCTGAGGGCTGTGCCGTGCCGCTTCCTGAGCCAGAGCAGCTCTCTTCCCCAGCCAAGCCTTCATCACCAACCGTGGCCTCTTCTTCTGCTCGCCTCCTTCAGGAAGTGGATCAAACCGCCTCTACACCTGCGGTCAACCCAACAGAACCAAGCGCTGCTGCGGCTGCTATTAATCTAAGCGAAGAGGAAGATGAGGAGGAGCGCGAGGGAAGCCAGTTGGTGTCTGTGTCGGAAATGAGCGGAACCACACAGCCGACGGAAGAGTCCCGTCCCGGGTCGGGCGGGCCGGTCGGCAGGGCCGCCTGGAAAGCCGGAGGCGCCTTGCTCTCCGAATTGGACTCCGAGGATGTGAGCGGGAGCCAGCAGGGGGCGTCGGAGCTGAGCGCGCCCGGCGTCCTGGAGGGCACGGAGAGCACGGACGACCTCGGAGAGGGCAGCCTCAAAGGAGCCATCGACATGGAGTTGGCCTCGGCAGGTTCCCCCGACTTCGAGAAGGTTCCCGACATTCCCGCCAACGAGTTCGAAGACGAAGATGAGGACGACAGCGACCGGGTGTGCGACATGGAAGTGGGCTCGGAGCGGACTGACGAGCCGCGCAGACCGAGGCACGACAACGACGTGGACGAAGATGAGGACGATGATGACGTGGAGATGGCGAGCGAAGGCGTGACGGAGAGCGGACTGGAAAGCTACGGAAACGCGGATGAGGACGACTTTGCGGAGGACAACCTGGATAACTTGAACCGGGTTCTGCAGCCGCTGCCGCCACCACCGGTTCTGCCCTCCGCCCCAGCGGCCCAGTGGGACCAACCCAATCCGTTCGCTTCTCCGTGGGAAGAACCGCCACAATCACACATTCCAGAAGAATCTAAAGCCTCGGCAAACTGCGAGGCTTTAGCTCAGTCCGCAGCGCAGACCTGGCTGGATGTCGGATCTACACCTTGTGCTCCTGAACGACAAGATGTCTGCCATCATTCATCGGTGCCAAACGAACCTCAGAACGTGGAACCAGCGGGTCCAGCCCCAGAAATGGCCCTACCTGGAGACCAGGGTGACAGGAACCAGGAAGGGAAGCTCCCAGCTCACGTTTTTGAAACTTCGGCACATAACTCACAGCCGGACGGAGACTGCCAGGACGCTCAGGCGGAGAGACGAGAGCAGGAGGAGGTAGGGATGTTTTTGATTAATGGTTTTAGATTAAAATTAGTTAAAATCGATTTTCTAATAACGTCCGTTTAGACATTCTTTCAGTGTTGTAGTTTGGCCTCAGAAGGCACCGCTGTTGATCGTTAAGCGGAGCTAGCTAAGCAGAGAATTAAAGATGGCGGAGATAGAGAAACGGTCAAACCAGAGTCCAGTTTGGGATATAAAATTTACTTTATGCGGTTTTATTTTGAAATATAAACACTTAACAAGCTCATTAAGTTATTACCTTAATATCGCTCATTCGGCCTAGCTTAGTGGCGGAGCAGCGTCAACTTATAAATTGAAAATTACTAGTAAGATGACAAAGATGGAGCTGACATAATGCAAAAAATAACATTATGGAAAAAAATGTGGCAATAAGCAAGGTTGATTTTCGAGGCCAGTCGCCAGTTTTAACATTCTTTTATTTCAAACATAAAAGTAATTTAAAAAGCAGTAGAAGTTCACTTTTTAAAAATTCTCAACCATTTATTTTAAATGTACCCTTTAGGAGCATCCACAGACTGAACTTCTATATGAATATCTGTTCGTGGGCAATTGTTTCACGTTTTTTTTTCAACTTTTATTTTCCATTCAGTAGGCTAAGAGATTCCTATTTTGTAAATTTTATACATTTAATGTGAGAACCACAATGTTAGTTTTTTCAGTCAGTGTTTTATACACCTGACACAAAATGATGTAAAATCTAGAGGTGTACTGATTTATTGATGCCGATTTCCTTAATTTTGGGAGACTGGTGATTGGCCGATGCCTCCAGGTGAAGCTAATTTTATCTCTTTATCTTATCGATGTCGGCAAAGGTCTAAAAATCATCCACTGTCCTCTTCTGCTCTCCCTTGGAGAGGTTTGACCAAGAGGTTGGCCCACCAGGTCATGCATCTCTGTACGTTTGCAGTCAACAAAGTTCTTGCTATTTGTAGCGACATTTCAGCCAAAAAAAAATGGTACCGGCCAAAATCGGAGTCAGCAGGCCAAGCTTTTTAAAGATCAGCCAAAAACCTGCAATCAATGCACCTGTAGTTAAAACTTAATTTTAACCCTTCATGCTATGGGAAGATGGTAAACTTTCTTTGTGCAAAAGACGACTCTTTAATAAAACTTATCAATTAAGTGAAGTCGAGATTCTTTAAGTAATCAATAACTTGCATCCCCAGGAGGAGGAAGAGGCTGAACCTGAAACTCTGCCTGCTGATGAAGTTCTTGGCGGCCCCTCGACGGCGCCGACGTCCAACCCCTCCTCTTCCTCTGTAACGGAAGACGAGGCGAGCGACACGGAGGGAGAAACTCAGCTGGACGAGTCGCTGAAGTGCCCGCCAGTCTCCAGACTGACTTTCGACATGCAGCCTCCGCTGCCCCAGCACTGCCTGTCCACCGTGGAAGAGGGAGAGGAAGTGGAAAGCTTCGCCGCCGACGAAGCCACTCCACCTTCAGCAGCTTCACTGGCGTCCTACAACTTCGACTCCATGACCACGGCTTCCAACTCCAACTCCAACGCCCTGTCCACCGGCGAGAGCTGCATCAAGAGCCCCGGCATCTTCTCCCTGGAGGAGCTTTCGGAGGAGGCCAAGGAGCCGTGCCTCAACCCTGAGCCTGACGCGCAGCGCCGCGCCGCCGAGTACATCGAGTGTGGGAAGCAGCAGGAAGCGGAGGCGGCCGAGCGCGTCGAGACGGAACTCCCTGGATCTGAAGACGCCACAGCGAAGCCGGAGGAAATCGCAGAAGACATCCAGCCTCCGTACTATTCGGCTATCTGTGAAAAGACTGAGGACTCTTTTGCAGGTAATGTATAGTAGCAGAGCTCGCTAACTCACCTTTGACCCCTCAGCTTCCTCTCTTCACCGTAGTGATAGTTTCTGTCTGTATAAACCTGTGGGGGTGGATGCATTCACACCTGAATCGCTAAAAATCAGAGAGCAAAGAAAAAGGAGAATGCAGACCACATTGGCACTTCCTCTGTCATATTTAAACTCGGAGCATTTGGCTTAAGTAACTCCTGTATGTGCAATAGCTTGGTGCGTCTACCTTTAATCGACGTGCGCTGGGTTTTTGGTGTCTGTTTTATCTGATGCAGAATTATGTGGCATGGATGTGACTCGTCTGTTTACAGTGAAAACATATCAAAACAACTGTGGAATGAATTGTTTAACACATTTCCATGCACATTTATCATTGTATGTTTTTTAATAAGCAGAACTAATAAGACTGTTTGCTGTTTTGGAGCTGCTCTTACTATATATAGGTACTTTTCTTTAACCAAGTCTTTTTGCACTTATGATTGTACCAACTTCTTCCCTCCTTTTCCTTTGGAATAATGAACATTAAAGCTTTAAATAAAGATTAGATTTTTTTACCATCATGTATTCTTACTGTACCGTTATTGAAATGAGAAAATTCTACTGCAGGAATTTGTTTGTGTGGGATCATCGAGGTTTGTTGATGAAGTGAAAATGCAACAGAATCAAAGTATTTCGGAACCAAATCTTTAAAATAATCACATGCTTTTATTTAGTTTAGTTTACATGGTCCAAAATCTTTAACTTAAAAGTACCTGCAGGACAAAATGAAATATTAAAAAGAGAACACGAGACATAATTTTTAAATGCATGTCGCATTTCTTTTATCTTGTAAATCCAAAACTGAAAAAAGGGGTTTTGCACATTTGTCTTATTAATTATTATTATAATATTTATTCTTGCTAATTCTATGTATATTATATAATATATATATAGACATTATATATAATTATTAATAATGGTTATTTTCTATGCCATTGTTCACTAAAAACCACGTATGTTGGTCTTGCAAGGGAAAAGTGCTGAGGTATTATATCAGCCAGCTGACCAGCAGTGTGTAGTCACATTCACACTTAAGCCTTTTTATGCAATATTAGAAACACATTAAAACATTCAAGTGAATTCAAATAAAAATGTAAACTTTAAAATGCTAACTAATCCTTTAGTTTATGCTCAATCATTTTTTGATGCGTCTAACGTGAAAATCGTCTCTTCTTAACGTCAGTGCATTGAAGCAAAAGGTGATTTTTACAGAATTTAAACCGACTAGGTTAAGTTACACGTTTGGTTTGGCATTTCCTACATGAAAACTCTTCACCTGTTGATGCCTGAACGGTTTTCTATGTAAAAAGCATTTCTGCAATAAGTAAATTAAAATATCCTCTGCTGAATAAAACATCTTGAACAAATGCTGCTGCTGCATGTCGACTTGTATTCATGTTCATTTCCACAAGTTGTGACTTTCCTGTAAAACCTTGAAGATCAAAACCTTTGACCACAACAAAGACGCCATCGATCTGCGACCAGAAGAACGCGCCTGACGGTTCGCTCCACCGGACCGGGTCGCCTCAGGATCCGCCCGGCTACGTTACAGAACTCCAGAACTGTAATTTCCCTCCCTTTGGGTCTGTTGCTGTTATGCCTCCTTGTTGGTTGGTTTGTTTGTTTTGCTGCACTGAGCTTCTGCATGTCACCGCTGCACAACGAGTTGCGCCTCATGTTGATGGGATGATGCGTTCAGGGTCAGCCAAATAGCTCGGCTCTGGGGCTTTGTGTGCAGAAATGAAATCCAGCTGTGAGCGTTTCCCAGCTGAAGCCAAGCTGTTTGTGCTTCCCTGTATGTCTGTCAATGCATGGGGGAGCTTTTGCATGCATCCGAGGTGGACTAACTGAACTTTATACACTGGTGATTTGTTGTTGAGCTCGTTGAGAGCGTCTCTGTGGGTGTCCACGTCTCACCGGGCTGATTGCATATACAGGAAGTTTGGCTTCTTTTTTTGCACTAAAGTCTTTCTTTTCTGGGTCTCATTTCTGAGAAAAGAAAATGGGTTTGCACTTTTGCTCTCTGCACAAATTTCCCAACACTTGACCACCCCCCAATCACCTCACTCTGGCTCTCTGAGTAAATAATGAGCCTGTTCTGCCACTGCTGCACAAAAATACAGTTTTCTGTTTATATAAGTAAGAAAATAAAACGGTTACTGCTGGTTGTTTTGGGGCTGTAGGCAAACGGAAAAACTCTTGAGCTTGGCTTCACAATCCTTTCACTTTTTCCTCTGGTATGAGGACCGACCTTCTTTATTTCACACACACTGCAAAAACACAAATGTTACCCAGTATTTTTGTCTAGTTTCATCTGCAAATATGTAAGTGCACCTAAAGTAACTTTCCAGCAAGATACATAAGCTTGTTTTCTGTAAAAAAAAAAAATATATATATATATATATATATATAATCTAATATAGGTTAAAAAAAAAAGTACTGGCAGATTTTTTTAAGTGAAAAAATCTACTAGTGGATCTAATACTTTTGTCTATTAAAGACTTATCAATTTAAACATTTATCTTGCTGAAAACAAAGTTATTTGTCTTATTTTAAACATATTTGCACTGGAAACTTGACAAGAATTCTTGGTAACATTTTGTTTTTGCAGTGCATCCTTCTGCTGCTCCTCACAGCTGTGGTCTGTCTCTGTGCTGCTCAACAGATGTTTCTCTATAAATAATTTATTTCAGCAATTTAGTTCAAAAAGTGAAACTCATCATGTTTACCTCAGAGGATTACTCTGCCACCACCATGCTTCATAGTAATGGTACACTGTAAAAACACAATCTTTCCAACTATATTTGTGTAGTTTCTAGTTTCAAATATGTTGCATTTGAAACGAGACAAAAAATAACTTGCAAGCAACTTCACAGCAAGACATACAAGCTTCTTTTAAGACTAAAAGTTCCTAGATTTTCACTTAGATTGGAAACATACAAGTGAAAAAATCCAGAAATGTTGTTTTGCGTTTTCTATTGTACTAATATATTTAAGTTTTTGCAGTGTAAAGAACCATGTGCACACTGCAAAAGCACAATCCTACTATTTGTCTAGATTCTAGACAAATGGTACACTTGAAATGAGACAAAACTAACAAGTAATTTGCAAGCTTGTTTTACGTAAATTCCTTAATATTAATGAATATTTTCCATTGGATGATCATTTCACTTATAACATTTAAAAAATGTCAAAGTGAAATAAAGGAATTATTCATTCAAAATAAGCTCTTATATATTATTTTGAACTTATTTTTGTCTTAATACTAACATATTTGCACTAGAAACTAGATAAAAATACTTGGTGAGGTTTTCAGTGTTTGTCTCGCAAAAATGCAAAATTTTACCAAGTTTTTTGTCTAGTTTGTACTGCAAACGTTTTAGTACATTTGATTTAGAACAAAAATAACTTCAAGGTAAGTTTTCAGCTTGTCTTGATCTTGAATATTTTTAAAAATGACTAGTTCCACTGACAGATTATGTAGCTTATAAGAAGATATTTTTCTTATTTTAATTTAAATAAGCTGATGGTGGAACTAGTATTTTTAAAAACTGTTTTTAATAATAAAGCTCTCTTGCTGAAAAACTTTTACATTTTTGTCTTAAGTGTACTAAAAATAATTGTAATATCAACTAAAAATTCTTAAGATCTTTTTGTTTTTGCAGTGTATTGTTTTCCGAGATGGTGAATTTGAGAACCAACAATCATTTTGTTCCCTGTTATGAAACAGTTTGACTTTTTGAACTGGATTACTGATAAAAACACATTTTTCGGTCGTTGCGCTCCGTCTCTGAGGCGTTTTCTGCTTCCTGTCACCAACAGGCTTCGTGGCGATCCCACACCCTCACCGCCGCGATCACTCATCCTACCCCAGAACTTTCTGCGACCTCGTCAAACCCGTCATCAGCGCCGCCGCTTCGCCCAAGCTGACCTGCACCGACCTGCCGCCCCGGAACCTCGGGCAGCAGGCGCTGAGCCCGCAGCTCCGCAGGCTGGAGCAGCACCAGAGGCAGCTGCTGGAGCTGCAGCAGCGCCGGGCGCAGCAGAGTCGGCCGCTGGAGGAGGCCGAGCAGGAGAGGAAGAGGAGGGTGGAGGAGGAGCAGAGGGGGAAGAAAGACGAGGCAGAAGAAGAAATAAAGAGGAATAAGGCAGATGAGGAGAGGAGGAGGAGGGAAGAGGATGAAGAGGAGGAGCTGCTGCAGCAGAGGAGAGATCTGGAACTGCAGCTGCAGCAGCAACAACAGGAGCTGCAGCAGAGACAGCAGATCATGCAGTGGCAGCAAGAGCTACAGCAATCCAACAAATCCCAGACTGCACTGCTGTCCCCTTCATCTGGACTCTGCACCATTTATGAAGCCTTGGAGAGCAGCGAAGACGAAGAAACGCCGGAGCAGAACCCGGATGCAGACCCGACCCAACCTGGACCGGATCCACACGAACAGATGTGTCCCAGCTGCGACTCTGACCGACCGTCTCCGGAGCAACCGCCGCCCCTCGACCTGGACTGGGGGAAGAAGGTGGACATCGTCCAGCAGCTGATCAACCAGACGCTGCTGCTGAACGGGGACGGGTGCTCCTCCCTGCTGCTGCTGCCTGGAGGGGCGGGGGGCACCCTGAGCCCCCTGGAGAGCAGCCTCTGGCCCAGCCTGCTGCCCCCGCTCACCCCTCCGTCTGCCACAGTCACCTCCGTCAGCAGCTTCTCCCCCGAGGCCACCGGCAGCTCGCCGCAGGGCGAGTGGACGGTGGTGGAGCTGGAGACGCATCACTGAGGCTGTGTGAATGTTTTTACATATTTATTAAAGCTATTCAGACATCATGATGGTGTAATATGAGACGGATAATCTGTGAAAATAACAACCAATCAGAGCCAGGAGGAGGGTCCTGGTGCTGTCAATCTACCTGATGTGTGTGCTGCTAAATGTATTGAAGGCTAAGAAACAACTTAACATTCCAGGAAAATCATTCATCCACCAGTGTGAGCATTCATGACAGGATTTGTTGTGGTGAAGCAACTGCAGTATAACAGAGAGGAAAGGGGGGAGAATATAAATGGCATGTACACAAGCTTGATTGACAGTACTAAGACCCTGCACCTGGTCCTGACTGGTTTTCTAGTTGGCATTGGGAGAAGGAAAAGCAGTTTATTCTTTTTTTTTCTTTTTTTTTTTACTTTTTGAATCTCACACCATCAGTGAAAGTTTTAACAAATATGTAAAAACTTTTTTTTAATTTTTTTTTTTATGAAAGTTACATACTGCAGCTTTAAGGGGTAGTTGTGGAGATGCACTGCAAAAACCAAAATCTTACCCAGTATTTGTCTAGTTCAGGCATCTGCAACTTTGGACCTTCAACAGTGGCTCTTAATAAATCTCTTAAATTAATAAAGAACCAACTAATAGATTAAAATATAAATTTAATCACAAATGTTGGTTTAAACAGCTGTTTTCATGTAGTGAATTAATTTCCAACAACTTGACACTAAAAATACCAGTGATTGTTTTAGATGTATTATATTTTTAAGTTGCAAATCATGTTTTGTTTTTCATTTTCTATAAATTTAACAATCCCACAGAAGGAAACGTATCGATTTTCTTTTCTCTCTTTTTATTTTAAAACTAAAAAAATAAAATGAAGTTTATTTTAAATTACAAATATGGATTGGATATTTATATAAAAAAATTTCTTTCTTCTTTTAAAATCATGTAATATTTGTGGCTCTTATTTATCCTAACTAAAGGTAAATTTGGCTCTTAAGGTTGTAAATGTTGCAGATTCCTGATCTAATTTCTGGGGCAAATGCAGTTTGATACTTCTAATAAGACGGATAACAAGTAACTTTTTAGTAATCTAAACTATAGTCAATAATTCTTGAATCTTTATAAAAAGTACTAATTCTGCCGGCAGATTTTTTTTTCATTTATAACAAGACATTTTTCTCACATCGTAGGTTAGATAATCTGCCAGTAGAATTTATTAAATAATCAACAATTACTGGCTGAAAACAAGCTCCTAATTCTTTCTAAAAAGTTACTTGAAAGTTTTATTTGTCTTATTACAAGTTTAATGAGAAATTTGCACTAAAAACCAGACAAAACTGATTCAGATTTTGTTTTTGCAGTGAATGACAAGTGTTTGTTTTCTCACAGTTTGGATTTAAAGGTTTTGATGGTGAAAAATTACAAAAACTGGAGACCAGACTCCACCTGAGAGCAAATCTGACTTTTATTCAGCAAAAAATTACCCAAAAGAGTAAAAAAAAAGTGTAAACATTTTTCTACTTGGCCTTTATTTCTTGTATAAGTTAATTATAGTGACACTTAAAAAAAAAAATCTGTCCCTTTTTTAACCACTTTCTGCCTGTTGAGAGCTTCCGATCCAAACAGGTGTGTAGATGTACAAAGGCACTTAAAGGCATCGTAAAAACCACAACACCTGTCAAACAGCAGCGGCGTTCAGCTGCTGTCAGCTAATCCTGGATTAGGCCCACTGTGGATGGGATTGGGGTTTTCCTCCCCCTAATAAAGGCTCTTGCGCTGCAAAAACACGAAACATTACCAAGTACTCTGCTCTGGTTTTAATGCAAATATCTTAGTAAACTTGGAATAAGACAAAACTAACTCGCAAAAAACATGGGAGTTTGTTTTAAGTCGATAATTCCTTAATATTGATGAAAAAGTACTAGTTCCATTGGCAGATCATTTCACTTGTACCAAGACATTTTCCCATGTTATAAGTGGAACTAGAACTTTTTCCATCAATATTAAATTAATTATCTTGCTGAAATGTTACTTGATAGATTTGTCTTGTTTCACGTGAGAAATTTGCATTAGAAATTAGACCAAAAGTACTTGGTTAAATTATTTAGTTTTTGCAGTGTAGGTGGTGATTCAACTCTTGGAGAAAAAAAAAAAGAGTCAAAACTGTTGGCAGATTTCACGATATAAAAATCTATCAAGTTTGGGTTCATTTTTTTTAATCGAAAGCTTCATATTTGATGTGAACAGACAGCAACTCGGCTCTAGAAGTGATTCCTTCAGCTCCACAAACTGCCTCTGCTCGTAGTGTCCAACTCGTCGGGCTTCATGTTTCCCACAGAAATCTGAGCGCACACGAACGCATCATGGCGCCAGTCGCTCGCCTTCACACTGGATGCCTCGCACGCATCGGGTCGTGAGGTCACAATAGGAAGGTGTTGCTCACCGACACTGGATACGACCGAACCGAGCCGACCGGTTCGGTTCCTCATCAAATGAAAGGCGAGACTGTTTGAATCCTTAGTTTACTGGTCTTCTAGCAGATTGCACTTAAACTCTTGAAGTAATATAAATATATATAAATATTTCAGACCAAATCAGGTGAGTATAAGGGACTTCCTGTTGATCACAGCCGACTGGTGAAGTTTATTTTTTAGATTAAAGAAAACGTTTGATCTCACTCTGCTTATGAGCTTTTTGATGAAACACTGGAGCGCGGCTCTGATAAGGCCTTAATCCTTCCGTTTTCAAATACGTTACTGTTTAAATGCAATTTGAAGTTGATTTTGAAAAGGTTGTATTTTTTATTGTGCTGCTCTGGTTTGAAAAAGAAAACTGGTGGATGAGACGACCTTAGCCTGACCTTTCAGAGCACTGCAAAAACACAACATCTTACCAAAGTGTTTTTGTCTCGTTTCTTGTGAAGGGGTGTCAACAGTGCGGTCCAGGGGCCGTTTGCGGCCCGTTGAGTAGTTAGGAGTGGTCCTGGATGCAGCCTAGAAATATCAGCAAAAGGAGCCGACACAGAGGGAGACTTTTTCTTTTTTATGAGATTTTTGATGATCAATTTACATCTTAAATAGTTTTAGACACAAATCAAGTGTTTTTTCTTTTATTAGCCATGTTGTTTTTATTGTTCATAGTAAGTAGGGCCACAAATCTCCCAATGACGTTTTACTCAAAAATAGATTTAGTTTCATCAAATAATTAAAATAAACTAAATCCAGTCAAGTATTGTCAAAGACTGTTCTCATGTTTGGAATAAACTAAAAAATGACATCTTGACCAACAATTTAGGAAACTGTCCAACTTTGAGTCACTTTTAATGACTTTTCATATGTAGAATATTACATGTTAATCTTTCAGAGCAGGTAAAAAGGAAAAACTTCACAATAAAATTATTTTCTGGTTTTAACTGGGAAAAATATACAAATTGTGGCCCCAAGTATTTTCAACTTGGAGATTTCAGCACATGGTGCAAATTAACATACAAATAACTTTTCAGCAACATAGGAGTTAGTTTTAAGCAAATAATTCCTTAATATTAGTTTTATGAAAGTACTACTTCCACTGGCAGATTATTTCACTTATAAGATATTTTCCCCATGTTATAAGTTAAATAATCTAACAGTAGAGCTGCTACTTTTTCATCAACATTAAGGAATTATTGCCTTACAACAACCTGTATCTTGCTTAAATGTTACTTTTGTTAACTTGTAAGTCAGTTTAGTTTTGTATTAAAAGTACACTAAGATATTTGCACAAGAAAGCAGACAAAAATACTTTGTACTGTCAGAATATTTTGCGTTTTTGCAGTGATTGGATCTCTTCCAGAAACGAAGCACAAACGGCTCGTCGTCGTCGTTTAAAAGCTTGATGCACTCCTCATGTTCAGGAAAGTTTTCCAGATTTGTTTTGTTTTTTTGTTTTTTTTTTACAGCTTTTGCTGTGAAGATGAGCCGAAACTTTCCGAGTCTTCTGATTGTTGTTAAAACTGTGAAAAGCTGCATGGCCTGTGCAGCCGTTTGTCTCTCCATGTTGGACTGTCCTGTTGCGTGTCTGTCAGTCTGTGCTCATGTTAAACCTGGAACTTAGAAATGCACTGATTTGACTTTAACTGGATAAAAACCATTTCCAGCTTTCTTTATTTCTTTTCTTTTTTTTTCCCCCTCTGGGGATAAAATGTCACTAATATGCTGAAGGATCTTTGATAGAAGTAGTTTTGGATCTCACTGAAAAGTTGGGAAATATTGGATTATCTCTAATTTGTTGTTGTGTTTAGGGAGCAAAAAAGGTGGGAGATCTAAATCCAGACCTGTCGATCACAAATCAGACCAGTTCAGGAAAAGTTACCCAGTTTACATTAAATCTGATGCATCTCTAATATCAGACGTGCTGCGGCTCCTTTTCTCCTGTTGGTTCTTGGCAGCAGACACAGAAACGTCAAATTTAGTAGCTTTCAAACATTTTCAGTTTTCTCTGTTTCATATCCGTCTAAGACTGGAGTCTGCAACCTAGAGCGCTTTTAGACTTCAACAGCTCTTAAAAAACCTGGCTTGCATTGATTTCAACAGTTTTTTTTATGTAATAAATTGATTTTCCACAGTAAAATGGCATTAAAATATTGTGATATTGTTTTAGATCTATTATTTCTGTCAATAAGTTTGAAATCATGTTCAGTTTCCAGAAGTTTCTTTTATGCAAATGTTTTCTTTAAGCTCTAAAAACAGAAATAAAACCAGGATCTTTAAAAATGGCAACAAATTTCCTTAAGTAGACGCTTACCAAAAGTTTTAAGTTGTCTTATATTTTTTCTTTTTTTTTAAAAAAGGGGCATTTAACATATGCGGCTCCAATAAGTCTTATTTAGCAGGATTGTAACAGGTCTGGGTTTTAGTGAAAACTTCTCTGCACATTTGAAATAAGACAAAAGTAACTTTTCAACCAGATTCAGCAGCTTGTTTTAAGTCAATAATTATTGAATGTTGATTAAAAAGTTTTAGTAGCACTAAAAGATTATATCAACATCTTGCATAAGGAAATGTATCCACCTTATTTTTTGCAAATGTTTTATTTTAAAATCTGAACACAGAAATAAAAAGGCGAAGTTTTAAATTTTCATTTCTGAAAAACTTTTAGTTTTTTGAAGGTTTTGTTACATTTGCGGCTCTTAATTTTGTAAAGGTTGCAGACTCCTGATCCAAGATGCTCAACCAGGTTTGTGTAGCGTTTGTAGTTGTGCCGTTTAAAGACTGATCACTGTATTGAGCAGAGTCTACTTTACTTTTCTACGTCAGAGTTTTAGAAGTATAGCAGCAGAGTTCTATATAGATTTTACTGAGTAGCTACTAAAATGATTTATAGGTGTTTATTCTTTATACTTAAATTGCCTTCCCTTGTCCATGTAGAAGCGATGAGTTTTTAATATTTCAAGGAAAACAGAAGTGGCCCGAAAAGGACTGCAGTCGTTTCTCAGGATCAGAGTTATTTTCTTCACTCAGATGTTAATTTATTAAAACATCAAATCTGGCCTGTTTGTTATTAAAACCAACCTGTTGAAGTGAAGCAAACGGGACAATTTCCTCCAAAACAATGGCAGCTCGTTTAAATTGTGATATTTTCCGTTTTGTTTTTGAGAAAATTTGTGATTGTAATCATTTCAATGCAATGTTTCATGTAAATAAAATACTTTTTTTTTTTTAATAACATGCCTGGATTTATTTGCACCAAACAGCAACTCTTAAAAACAATCTACAGAGAAAAGTTATACTTTTACAAATCCATAAAGAACAGGATTGGCAGCAAACATGTGCAGTAAAAAACATTCGTAAAAAGAAATTTACATTCTCTAAACATTGGTGCTGCTTTTTAACTTTCCCAGGTTAGAAAAAATTACAAAACAACCTAAATGGATGTCAGCATCGTGCTGAGGGTTCTGATGGCACAACATGGAGGAAAAAATGAAGAGGACGACTTCAACCTTCCTTCTTATCCGCAGCTAAATGATCAACGCTGAGTGTGTCGGCAGAACAAAGATCCCCAAAACATTAAAACTGGTTTGGTAAGGATTTTATCCGACTAATATTAAGCTTCATAAACACTTCAGGCCTCAACATCATAAAAAATTCTGAAACACGACAAAAACACAAAATCTTACCAAGTATTTTTTCGTCTAGTCTCAGTGCCCTTGAGATAAGAGGAAACTAACTCAAAGTAACTTTTCAGCAAGATATTAGCTTTTTTAAGTCACAAATTCATCAATATTGAATATAAGAAAGTACTAGTTCCACTGGCAGGTTATTTTACTCATAAAAATGTTATAAGTGAAATAATCTGGAACTTTTTCATCAATATTAAGGAATTGTTGACTTAAACTCCTATCACTTGCTTAAAAGTTGCTTGTAAGTTAGTTTTGTCTTATTTCAAGTGAACTAAGACATTTTCACTAGAAATACTTTGAGTTTGTGTTTTTGCAGTGAAATTATTAAAACCTGAGCCCTCTCCAGAAAACCAAACAATGAAGCCAGGGCCAATCTGAACAGCTACAAAAACAATATACATCTATATTTTACATATAGATATATTTCCACCAAATGTTGGTTAGTGTTTAAAAATCCTTTAAGATGTATCTTCAATCAAGGGAAAGGAAAATCCTTTCAAATCTTTATTTCCAAGCCCAAAATTGTCATGCTATTCAGATGAAACTTCTGATCAGAACCGAGTATCAGTTTAGCCTGATGGCTTCAAAGCTACATCCTGACACTCCAGGTTTTCTCCAGGCAGCAGCAGCAGCTGCTGCCGTGCATTAACTAACGTGTGTGTGTGCGCTCCTCCTGCAGGCCAGAGCTCAGTCAGCGTGGCACGTCAGCAGCAGCTGCTGCAGATAGTCCGTCGCCGTGCAGCTGGACGGCTCGTTGCGGCCCAGGAACAGCAGCCTGCGATAGCTGGCCTCGGGGACTTCGCACAAGATCCTGGAACGAAACCAGAGCGAGACGTCGCGAAACACAGACGTACTGGGTTCACACGCTTTTCCCTCAGTAAAAATCTAGGATTTTTCAGGCATTTTCAAGGTAAGTTTTCAAGCACGTTGGAGATTAAAACAATAAAAGAATACAAAAAGAAACCGTTTCAATTCCCTACACAGTTTCAATGATGTTGTTTAACATATAAAATATAAGAAACTTTTGTTTTAATCACACATTAATAAGTAATTGAGGTCATTAGAAATGGTAAATATTCATTACTTTGGAACAATCCAAATAAACTGTGTTAGGGCAAAAGTACCTTAAAGCTCCAATCAAATGCTTAAACACAATATACAAAATATAATTTACATCATTTTAACTTAATCAATAAAAGCTTAGCATGATTTAACTTTAGACACTGAGAAAAAATGCACCCAGTTGAACCGTAAATAACATTTTCCAAATTCAAGCTTTTTATCAGACGTTAGATTGCACTTTTTTACAAAAATGTCATGCATTTACAGGGATTTCATATAGAAATCAATCACTTTCCAAACCTTGAAATTCAAGCATTTCCATGATTTCAATGAACCCCGGCTTAATAATTGTGGTTTCTTAAAAAAAATTCTCAAAGTAAGCATGAAGAAAAATTAGTATACTGATGGATTTCAGCTTTACCAGTCGTATATGTCATCTGTAGTCCGTTCTGGCTTCACCTGCACCCACTGACCGATGGACCACATCCTCACCACGTTATCGTTGGAGGCGTCTTCGTTCTCTGAGTCTGGGTCAGCATGTGTGTTGAGGATGTCCTCATAACACAGGAAGTAGCTGAAAGAGGCAGTTTGAAGAGCTCACATAGTAAAGGTCATCTATTATACTTTCTTGAACAGGTTAGGATTGGCTTATGGGCTTAAAAAAAACATGTTCATTACATTTTTGGCACAATCAGCTGTTTTAGAGCCTCTTGTCTCTTTAAATCCAAATAAAC